CTGTTTTGTGTCACCCCTCTATTTCAGGTTAAATTTTCTTTTTGAATTCTAAGAAATTTCAGGCTGACAGAACTTCATCATCTGTTTTATAAATCTGAAATTTTTTAAGATTCAAGAAGAAAACATACCTTCACAATAGCTGACATGGAACAGTAGAAATCTGAAAAACAGAAAAGACTATGACCATCAAGGAGACCATAAAGGCATCCTACAATTGTAGGAACGACTGAAGATAGGGCCCTAAGAGTGCTCTGTCCGTTGACGATTTCGGAGATACATGACCCTGAACGGCGCCAATGGAAATCGGTCTATCTTATGGCCAAGTTCGCAGGGAACAGGGTCTATAATATAAATACCTTAAAATATTCCTTAAATAACTTGAACAACACCATGTTTCAGAACTATTTTCAAAGCACAGCGTTGCCAGATGGGTCACTACAGAATTTCCCCAGAACAAGCACAAAAATCCCCCAGACTTACAACTTTTTCAAAAGTAAAAAAAGGATAGGTTTGGTTCAAAGAGCGGGAAATTCTTTCTAGCTTAATTTTTAAGAACAATAGTTTATAGTAGAACAGAGTAAAGGAGGGTTGTCTGGCAAAGGCCACCCTGCTGTTATCTAGCTGTACTATAAAGGTCACAGAGAAGGCTCCAACATCACATATACAGGTATCGTCACAGAAATTCAACGTAATTTTAGGAGCTGTAGGAGTACCACATGCTGTGGTTTTTTGATCTTACCTTAAATCGTCAAGTAAAACAGTGGCAATGTAATGGCCTTGAGATAGAGTTCCGCTATACTGGACTACAGCATAGAGTTTATACACCGAGCTTAAAAATTGTAGCTTGTCCGGAAAAACTGACAAGACCAGGATGCTTCATTACTTCATCTTTAGAAATTAGGACTCTGTAACAATATCGTATTTTAGTGAAGGCATTTTGTGACATAAAATTGTAAGGATAGAACTAAATACTTGAAATACTACTTTAAAAAATATTTTGTCACTTGCTTAGACTACATCATAGCTTGAAATATTGATTTTTGGTCACTATTTTTTCATTAAAATATTCGCCTAGAGACAGCTCTGAGCTATGTATATCTGATGAGTGATGATTATTCTGTGAGATACAATTATTTTGTTCTGTTCTGTTCTGTCTATTAAATATCTGAACAGCTTGAAAACTAAGCAAGTACGCAAAGGGGTTCTACAAAAGATTCGAAAGACAAAAGAGGAATTTATTGGCGACTTCTAGATTGACTAGATAATGTCCTTAGAGGTATTTAGAAGTCAAATTAGCAAATTCAATAGCAGCCAACATTTTGGGCAAATGATTAAACGATATAGTAGCGAGATTCTGACAAATATCAGAAAAGCTGAAATCTGATCTGAAAACTGTATAAACACTCTGGAAACTTGGCACCACGCATTTGCCGAAAACAGGCTCCTATAAGAGATTTATAAAATCAAATCACCTCTAGTATGAGCTAGACAATGACCTCGGAGGTTATTTGGAGGTCAGCTTCGTAAATTTAAGCAATCACCACTAGTTCTGACAACAGATTCGTGATCAGCACAAGTGGACAAATCAGCAGTTCAATCCGCCACCAAAGATTGCAACTATTTGAATTCACAAACTTGGCTTCCAAATTACTTTTGACGTCTAAATCACATCCCTTTTTTTGACTTCCTGAAGCTTTAGCATAGACCCTTTAAAAAATGCGGTTTAGACTAGTTTCCGGTGCATTTGTGATCTTTTGAGGCCTGCCCAATTGACCACTTTTGATTGCGTGACGAATATGAACACCAAAAATGGTAGATGATAATCCAAGTTTACGAGGTTGAACGCTAAATGACATCTGAGGTCATATTAAAGGTCATCGGTATATTATTTTTTTGGTCTCCTGAAACTGTTGAGAAAATATTTTTCGAAAAAAAAATGTGTGGCACTACAGCGTTTGTGTACTTTGCAGACGTTACAGCTTCGCATAACGGTTTCTCTTTTGACACCGACGGAGCCGCGCAGGCAGAAGCCTAAATGGCAGGGCAATGCGGGTACTATGATGATCCCAAGGAAACTTTGTTAATCCGATTTTTGAGCTGCCTATGGTTAGTAGAACTGGGAAAAGCCTTCTCTTGTAGTTTGCTCCACAATCTCGACATCCTGGGATGGGAGGCGGAAGTCAGGCAGGTCTGTTTGGCATGCATCAAGGAGGAGAGCAAAGACAGTTGGTGTAGCGGTAGAAGAGAGCTAGATCGCCGTCGGCCCGGCGGTGCCAAAGGATCCTGAGACTGTCTGTTAAAGATCAGTAATTGATCAGCCGGACGGCCCTCCTCTGGATAACATCGAGCATGGATAATGTAGTCCAGGCGGCATCACCTCAATCGTGTGAGCAGTACTCGAGGCTAGGTCTTACCTGGGTCTTGTATAGAGTGAGGAGGTCATCCGGAGAAAAGAACCTTTTAGACCTGGCTTTTTCCCACCAGCTGCCACTATTGACGAGATGTGTTCGAGATAGATCATGTCCTCGAAGATCTGGACTCTGACCAGAAATGAACGGTTCTTTGGCAGAACTCGGCCATCCATCGAAACCGGATGAACGCTAGCACGCTTTTTGTTCGTCAAGGTACAGTACTGTGTTTTGGAAGCATCAAACTGTATAAGATTGTTGCGTCCCAAAGCAGTGATAACCTCCAGGTCTATGGTCAGGGAGGAAATCGCTGCTAGTCTTTTTTCCAGCAAGGGTGGTTGCTACTTGAATTTGAGAAGTTAACCTCCTATTATTTAGGTCATATTAGAGGTCACTGATATAATCCTTTTTTAATCTCATAAAACTTT